ACACCCTGGCATTGAAAAAAGAAGCCTTTAATCACCGGATCTGCTGGTAATGATATCATTCTGGTTGGCAGAGGTGGACCCAGCCCAACAGCATTTTCGACAGTATGTTGTTGAGCCTCGTGGCGCAGTGGTTAAACCACTGTACTGCAGCTAAAACTGTGCTCACGACCTGGGGTTCAAATCCCAGGTAGCCGGCTCAAGGTTGACTCAGCCTTCCATCCTTCCGAGGTCGGTAAAATGAGTACCCAGCTTGCTTGGGGGGGGGCAATTTGTAGCCTGCATAATTAAATTGTAAACCGCCCAAAGAGTGCTTGAAGCGCTATGGGGCGGGATATAAGCAGCACGCTTTGCTTTGCTTTGCTTTTTGTTGTGAGAACGCACGACCCACCAACGAAAGCCACAAACCACCTAAGGATTGCCCATTCTTCCATACTATCACTAAGTAGCTCTTCTTATTGGGACCAAAGCAGTCCCTTGTTACCTCAGTCAGGGATTGACACCTATACCAAGCATCAGCTACCTTTGCCCAACGGTACCCTGCCCTCCCCTTGGAGCAGGTCCCCATAACTGGCCTTTAATAAGTGATGGTGGAATTTATAGGTTCCTTTGCACCAGTTGCCATGGTAGCCTCAGGTTTCGAATTGTGAGAGGGCTTTCTTTCTTTTTCGAGTGAAGAAGCACCATCTGGTCTTTGATAACAAGACGGTTCACAGATTTCTGTTTCCAATTTTCACTTTGCATAGGTAGTAATTGCAAATGATGATGATGACGGGAAATGTGGTAAAGGAGATCTTTTATGTCAGTCTTTTGATGCCAATAACCCACAAAGCAGGCATTGTTTTAACATGGCAGAACACCTAAAGAGGCTTTTGCCAGTAGAGTTTAAATGCAGGATCAGTTTGGGAAAATCAAGATTCAAAGATGCGATTATATATTCTTCTGTATTTTCATCTAATCCTTGTTCTGCCTTCATGGGCTGAATTTAAAAAAAGAAAGAAAAGAGACTGTGCCAGTTCTTACATCCGATTTATGAGAAACTAACATTACTAAACAGGTATCCTGCGCTATATGTAAATAATACTGCCATTTGCCTGAATATCATCAGTTTTATGAATATCATCATCAGAATATCATCAGTTTTATGAATATCATCATTTATTTTAAAAAGTGATATATAAACAGAATCGCATATATACAAGCCAAAGAGTAAGCATGACTGAGATGTGAGTAGATGGTTGCATGCATTTCTGTCTCTGCCCTGCGGTCCTAGTAGCAGTTTCAGGGCTAGTCTTGACTTTGTGGAAAGAGGGGACATTTGAGGGAAAATAAAGCAGGAGAAGCAGTAACTATTCCTCTTCTCCAGTATGTCTGTTCCACAAGAATGTGGAGGAACCAGTGGCCACATTAAACTAAACTCAAATTATCAGTCAGTTTCCCATATGTAGGTTGGTCTTAAGTTTTTCCCATGATCCGAATTTTAACATTTTGGTAGATGTTACAGGTTCTTCTCTTTCCCTCACCCTCAGCCGTAGGCAGCTCTGAACTTCTGCTGTCACTTTAGAGCTGCCAAACATGGCTATCACTGGAGTACAGTATAGTGGAACTCATAGAAATGGATGTGGCTATTAAAAATTCCTCCCAAATCCTGCCCTCCTGGTGTGCCTGAGCCTATAATTATATACAGCCGTGACAAGCTCTCGTGGAAGTTAGGTGCTTTGCACAAGTCAGTTAATCTTGATATATTTTTTTCCTATTGTTGATGTTTTTATTTTATTCTTGAAAATCCTGCAAGTCATCAGACTTCCTGCTGGCAACTAAAGGACCTCAAGCTGGAGACTGCTGTGAGGAATGCCATTTTAGATTTGTAGAGAGATAATTTATCTTGGCACCTAGCTTTTCTTCTTTTCCTTCTTTCTCCTGCAGATGCCATATTCCAAAATTTAGGAGTGTGTACCTCAGCATTCAGGAAAATAGTAATAAAGCTGACTGAATATTTTGCAGGAAAGAAATCCCACTTTGGTTGAATTTTTCTGCCCCTCCCCAAACGGGAAGTCTGAGTTTAAATGTCAGTCTTCTCTTTCTTTCCTTTGCCTTGGTGCTAGGACATTAACTATAGAGCTGTTACCCTCTAAGGCTACATAAACAACGTTGAATCTTCTCCCTTCCAACTTCATATAAGGGGTACTTCCAATGTCTCTCACCAATTTCTTTGTGTTCCATTTTGTTTTACTGATGCACTCACTTTATATTTCCTGAATCACACGCAGACATGGGCTAGACCCACCCTAACATACAGCTATTCCAGGCCTTCTGTTGTCCTGTTTCTAACCTCTTCTTCTATAGATGTTCAGTCATTCAGGTACTAAAACAGAAAGATGCTTTTGGATTCTTAATCATTGTTGTCTTTAGCGGCATAAACAGCAATCAGACATAAAGCCGTGCTTTTAGTAGAGGATTGTTTTCCTGGATATCACTAAGATGTGTATTTATGGATTTCTCTCCCTATTTGCATAAGATTCAAATAAAATCACAGAAACAGTGCTGAGTTTGTCCAGACCTTGTCCAAAAGGTGAATCCTTGAGATTTAATTTGTAAATTTGTAATTTGTAAATAGGTTCTTAACTGCAGTTTGCATTAACCTGTTTTCATGGACCATTGAGGTTGTGATTTATTTACACGTAGTAATCTAGGTTGTTTTGGCTGCCCTGAAATCTCTGTATTGACTTCTGGTAGCTAATCCCACTAGTTGATTGGCCGATAAAGCTTTAGTATATCTCTTACGCCGGTGTCAGCATTGATACAGGTGCTTCATACTCCACTAATAGATGGCTTGGTGGCTGCTGGCTGTAGCAAATAGTGAATTATTTTTAAGATCAGTTTTGGTTTTGCAGTTTCACATTGAACCCATAACATGACAGTTCTTGTCAGGACCATCAAGGATTTGCTGGTAATGCCCAGCACATGCTGTCTTGAAGGCAAGACGCAAATTATATATATAATTATACTGCTTATATATCTCCCAATAGCACTTAAAACACTCTCTGGTTGGTTTAATGTTTAATTATGAAGGCTACACATGGCCCCCTCAGCAAGCTGGGCACTCAACTCACTGACCTCAGAAGGCTGAGTCAGTCTGTGCCACAAGGCTCCTCGTATTAATGCTATGCCAAAAATGTTGACTATTCTTGTTCAGTTTGATAAAAGCAAGAAATTATTTTCAGGAAGAATTTCAAAGGAGGATAAATTGTTATGGGTGAGGTTTGAGATTTAGCTGGCTTATCAGGTGCTGAGGTGTGCGGTTGCATGCCTTACCTTCTGCCCTTTGGTGGCTACCAGCCCCGTTTCCCTAGCTTCCTGCAATTCAGTTAAAGCTGGGGGAGGGGGAATACCATAATGTAACTTCTCTAGATGAGGAGGCTTCTCAGTGAGCAGCCAGGGAAACTGAAGAGCATAGAAGAGCTGTGTCATATAAAGGAAGAACAAATGCAGCAGATCTGGCCATTGTGCGATGCTGTCCTCTTTTGAAAAGCCCTGAAAATGAGTTGGAAGAATGAAAACTTCTTTCATGGGGTTGTGGATAAAATTGTAGGCAAGTTGGAGGACAAATTGTGATCCATGCAGGCAACTCTTTTTTTCTTGAGCTGGGCACCTGCCTGACCTCCTTCAGTGCACACTGAATTACCCCCAGCCTCATCCAACTAGAGAAAACCTCCAGCTTTGTAAGAAGGGGGAAAGAAGTCTTAGTTCCATAGGAGAGAAAGAGCAACATAGCAGGTATGGTGGGTTAAGGCAGAGGAAGACACAGACACACAAACACAATAGGTAGGTGGTTGAATGGAGAAAAAGAGCAATGGGTTGGAATGGGGACTAATGGCTTTCTAAGCCAAGCAAAGCTAGGCACTTCTAATAGTAATGACAGAAATTAATATTTTATCATCCAAGTTTTATTTTAATGATAATGAAAAACACTGTGAGGTGCCTTGCACAGAAATGTTGAAATGCAAATAAAGATAATGTGATGGAATTTGAAACTGTCAGAGGAGTGAAAAGACAGACTAAGCAGGCATCATCTCCTTGGCAATTATACTTTGCTGGCTGCAAAACAACAGCTTGCTAAGACTTTGGTGCTGCTGCTTCTCCCTCTACAGCCGTGTCATTAAGCTGAAAGGGGACTTTGCAAATATAGCAGAATTTAAAAAGAGGGGACGAAGGAACAAACCACAGACAGGATACTTGGGGATTTTATACGAAACTCAGAATGATGGGGTCAGTTTCACTAAAATGTCTAGTGTTGTTAAAAACAAGAAGCAAAACTGATTTTATATTTGTGTCCCTCCTCTGGGACATCTAGAATTAATCACGTTACATTTTTAGAAGACTATTTTATCTTTCCTAGTGCCACAGTGTAAACCATTTTAAAAACAGCTTTATAGGCCACCCTTCCCCACTGGCATATAAAGTTGAAAAATGCAAGACTGTATTGAGTCATGGACTATCATAAATCCTCTTCGTTAATATACTGTAAACATAATAAGACCAATAAGACAAATGATAACATCCCCCTAGCCAGCATGGCCAGTGCTATGCTGACTAGGAGATTCTGAGAGTTTGTTATATTTCGTAAGATCGAATCCACGCGATGGAGTGAGCTCCTGTTGCTTGTCCCAGCTCCTGGCAACCTAGCATTTCCATGTAAAAATGCAAGTAGATAAATAGGTGCCACCTTGGTGGGAAGGTAATGGCATTCCATGTCTAGTTGAGCTGGCCATGTGACCACAGAAACTGTCTATGGACAAACGCTGGCTCTATGGGTTGGAAACGGCCCCCTAGAATCGGACACGACTGAACTAAATGTCAAAGGGAACCTTTACCCTTACCTATTTCCAAACTTCTGGATGTGTTAAATAATGAATGCTTTAATATTTCCCACATGGGCTTAAGACTAATTGAATTCTTTTTTTGACCATGCTTATTTGTGTGTGTGTGTGTGTATTGTGTAGTTTTCGAAGAGCCTGAAGACCCAAGTAACAGATCGTTTTTTTCTGAGATCATCTCTTCAATTTCTGATGTCAAGTTCAGTCACAGTGGAAGATACATCATGACCAGGGATTATCTCACTGTCAAGGTGTGGGACCTAAACATGGAGAACAGGCCTATTGAGACTTACCAGGTACTTCACTCTCAGGGTTGATAAGAGTGCTTTGAATGAATAATGAAGAAGGAAGATAAGATAATGGCTAGTATTTATCATCAGCATAACTGCACCTGTGGAATGTGCTGCAATGGCATAGAGAAGTAGAATTGCCTGCTGGGTCACATGGCTGGCCAGCTGGGCAGCTGGGCAAAGAGGACAATGACCGGACCTTGGTCCATGGCTGCGGCCAATTCTCCATTTAACACTAATGAGCACAGTAAATTAAACCCAATGTGGCTGATGCATTCCTTTGAAGCCCCCTAGAATGTTGCAGAACTACATAGTTATTTACCAAGATATTTTAATATATGACAGGATATTAATGTTTTATATAATGAAGAAGTAAGTACCACCACAACCACTATTACTGTGAGATCTTCAAATCTACATGTACATAGGCTACATTGTTCATGGTCAGTTTTGAAAAGTTACCTTTTTTGGTCCAGAAACTCCCAGGATCCCTTTGCATAAGCAGTGGCTATTCTGGCTGGAGGTTCTGTGCAGTCACTTTCCCAAGAACAGTTTTACTCTTTATATTCCACTGAAATCAGAAGGATCTTTTCCTTTGTTCTCCTTGAATGAAAAACCTGTCTTTCCAGATTGTATGAAAAGTGGCATAATTTAAAGCAATTCATCCCACACTACACTTATCTTAGAGTTACCTAGCGACGTAAAAGATAATAGGAGCTGGATGTGGTTATATTGTATATCATCTAATAGTGTTGCAGGTCTTGGGTTGTCTAGGGCTTCTTGAGAAAGCAAGGAAGTTCCTCACACAGCAGGACTGGGGAGGGGATCATAGCTCAGACTGTCCCAGGTCTATACAGTTGCCAGTTCTGGCCAGCCATCAGCCTTTCAAGGTTTCAAACAAAAGTCTTCCTTGGGTTCTGCGCTCTGATGTTCCCCAGCAGGAGATTCCGTGGATTTTAAATGGGGCCTGTTATATTCAGACTCCACGGACTTGTGGCTGCTCCTGAATTATTCCATTGGTTCCAACCCATAGGGATGCCTCAGAGAGAACCTTTGTTATAGCTTATGGAATCTTCAGGTGGCCACCTAAGAGACATTATGTTTGATTCTCTATAGAAGGGTGAGGGGCATATTTGCTTCTGAGATGAGGGAAGGTATTTCGGTGGCTTTTTAAAATAAAACATTTGTCCCGGGTGCTTGATATCAACAACTGAAACTTTCAGTACAGTGGTGCCTCGCTTAACGATTGCCCCGCATTACAATGAAATCACTGTAATTGTGATCGCAAAACGATGGTCTAAATAGATTTTTTTTTTTTGCTTTGCGATGATCGGTTCCCTGTTTCAGGAACCAATTCTTTGCAAAACGATGTTTTTTTAAACAGCTGATCGGTGGTTTCAAAATGGCCACCAAGTGCTTAAAATGGCTCCCCACTGTGTTTAGGGACAGATTCCTCGCTATACAGGCAGCGAAAATGGCCGCCGTATGGAGGATCTTCACTGGACGGTGAGTTTTTACCCCATTGGAACGCATTGAACAGGTTTCAATGCGTTTCAATGGGGTTTTTAATTTTGTTTTACGATGTTTTCGCTTAACGACGATTTTCCTGGAACGGATTATCACCATTAAGTGAGGCACCACTGTATAAGGTGTTATTCTTTGTCTAGCTTTTGCTTTCAAAGCACCATCAACAGCCAAATACAAGTCTCCCGCAATGGCATATCTGTGACCCTTCTGCTTCTTTTTCACCACTGGGATAATGGGTCAGCTTTTCCCCATTGAAAAGCTATTCTTCTCAAACATTGAACTTTCCATTGTCATTCCTTGGATTCATGCTCCTGAGTAAACAATGAACCGCTTAATATGCATTGTTTGATGTGTAAGATGTTGTTATTAGGGGAACCTGATATAATACCATTTTGGTTCTGGAGATGTAGATACCAGGTTTTAAATAATTCTCACTTAAAACTGTTTTCTTCATTCACTCTTTGTGTCTCTGTCTTTCTCTTTAGGTTCATGATTATCTCCGCAGCAAGTTATGCTCCCTCTATGAGAACGATTGCATTTTTGATAAATTTGAATGTGTGTGGAATGGGTCTGACAGGTGAGCGTGGCCATCATCGTTATATATGTAATGATTCTCACTCTCTCCTTTTGTACTGACTATTCTGTCATTTATTTTGCTTCACAGAATGTGTGTGGCAATTACGTTGGACTTTAGTATGATGCTAAATTAAACTTTAGATTTGTTTCTTGGTGGGAGAAACAGCCATCAGTAGTAAAGCAAATAAAATTCAGTTCAAAAGTATAGCACTTCCAGATAGCATTTCTGCTAATGGGAGACAACAGAGAATAGTAGTTAGAATATTGTCAGGGATTTTGGAGATCCACATATAATTAGTCACTGAGCCATGAAGCACATGGCCCAGAGGCTCCTCGGGTGAGTGTTGTTCCGGGCACACTGAAGCCTCAATGAACTCAGGCCTCCAGGAGGTGCTCACTCTTCTTCCCAAGTAGCTGCCACCAGGTATTGCTGCTTCCATACCAATTATTCACTGTGACTTGTATTTTCTTTGAAACTTAAACTTGTTTATTTGATTATTAAAATAAAATATGTAAATCACCAGTTGATAATCAATTTCTTTCACTCACTGAACTCAATAACACAGAAACCTAACTCTCACTGACTTTCTGGCACACTGTCTCACAGACTTACTGATCTCTCTCTACATCCTGAACTCACTCACATCCTCCATACCCCCCCCTTTATATACAAGCCACTCCTCCTTTAGCACCACCTTCCGTTCACTCACTGGCTCCTTTTCCACTGCTCAGCTGTGACGGACAGGTGAGGGCAGGGCTGAACGCTACAAGTGTGTATCAGTCACTCACTCTCAGCCTGATCTTCCTCACAGGCGTGTTGTGTAGATAAAGTAGGGAAGAGGAGAACCTAGTATGCTGCCTTGAGCTCATTCAAAGAAAGGCAGAATATAAGCATAACTAATAAAATGATTACTTAAAACGTGAATGTGGGAAGTACAGCAAGTTACTTCCTGAAGAAGATGTGCTTCCTCTCTGGAGATTGAAGAAGGGCAGGGAATTGAACTACGACTAAACGACTAAACACACACATTGATGCTGTGCCACCCATAAGGATGCTGGTTGTCCATTTGTTGGAGTAGCATCAGTAGAGGGCCCTGGACAATCCCACTCGGGCGTCAAAGCATAGACTGAGCTGTCCCTCACACAGCTAGCTACTCCATCCAAGAATATCCTTATGACACATAATCAAGCTTGTTGCTATGGAGGGATATGGAGGGAGAAGATAACAAGATGCTTTATGTATTTTGCCTTGTGGTTGGCAGAGTATGGTTTTCACCCATTTTCTTTGTTTTCCCTTCCAGTGTCATCATGACCGGCTCCTACAACAATTTCTTCAGAATGTTTGATCGCAACACCAAGCGTGATGTGACCCTGGAGGCCTCAAGGGAAAACAGCAAACCCCGTGCCATCCTCAAGCCCCGCAAAGTTTGTGTGGGGGGCAAACGGAGAAAAGATGAAATTAGTGTGGACAGTCTGGACTTTAGCAAAAAGATCCTGCATACAGCTTGGCATCCTTCAGAAAATATCATAGCAGTGGCAGCAACAAATAACCTGTATATATTTCAGGACAAGGTGAACTAGGAGGAAGAAAGATAATTCCTTAGGAATCTTTATGTACTGAATACTAGCGAACACAAGTTTTTAAGTGTTTCTTCTGTTTTATTTTCCTCCTCTTCATTTGTTTCGTTATCCCCCTGCAGACATTAATTCTGTGGAGGTGAGCACTCAGATTCCAGCATCTGTTGCTGCCCCTCAAATCTTAAGAAACTGGGTTGGCAAGATCTGCTAGGAACATTTGACTTCTAAGTACTGAAATATCCCAAGCTTGAATTACTTACGTTGTTACTTTTCCCCTTTGCAGTACTCACTGGTAGATTTAATTTCTTTAAAATATTGATCTAGATACCTGCCAGTTTATAATAAAGCTACGATTATAGTAATATATTTGCAAAAAAGAAAAAAAAACACTCAAAGCTAGCCTCTTTTTTATTTTGAAGATTTTTACTTCTGTTTTACATCGATTCCCAAACAGAAAATCAGTTTCCTTTGCAAGTTCATTTCTTGTTTGGTTGGGTTTTTTTTAAAAAAATTCTTTTATTAACTCAGGGCCTTTCCAGATGACCATCTGTTGTGCATATTGATCGTATAATGAATATTTAGCTGTATTCAGCCTATTGGTGAGAGGTACAATCATGTTTCCGTTCCCAGTGGCCACATCTGTTCTGCTCCCACTACAAGATTCATTGCAATTTAAGGTCCCGTTTTCTACTCTAGTTACCCAAGTTTTGTGGTCAAAGGTTGGGTAGCACCTGTGGTGTCACTGGTAAACAGTGACATGTTCCCACCGCCATGGCTTAAACTTATCCTTTGGAGGGCCGTAGATGTCAAAGCAACAAAGTAAAGTGCGTGGTTTACTCCTCCACTGAAATCCTCTATCAGTGTTTTATGCAGACATCAGTGCCGCATCATGTACATTATGTTCTTTTAAATTTGGTTCCGGTCTGGCCATTCACTTGCTCCAGTGCTGGAGCACAAATGCAATTTCCTATGATTTTTATCATTATCGTTATTATTCTTAAGGGTAGAACAAGCAAACATATTCCCTCTGGCTACCCAGAACAACTGTTTGCTCTGCAAAGAAGCTGCTGCTCTTGCATTATCTGTGGGCAGGATTCAGCACTTCCACTATAAAATCCAACCTAGTGCTACCCTAACATGAAAGGGGAGACACACATGCTGCACCCCTTTTTTTTTTTGGTCTGGGAAGGCCCTCAAACAGGAAAGACAAAGCCAAAAGAGAAAGAACAGGTTCACAATAGGAGAACATTAATAGAACTTGGAAAAGTTACTTTTTGGACTACAGTTTCTGGCCATGGGAGTTGGAATCCAAAGAAGTTCCTTTTTCGAGCTCTCTTTACGCTCATCTTTCATGAATAGCCATGTATACTGTTGAAGGCTGCTACCTTCTCTCATCACACCTCGCAAACAGCCTTCTATGGATTTGGCTGTGTTGATCCTGTGGTGCCTTTTGCTGGTATACGAAATACCATAGTAACAATGCTTCCAAAAGGTGGGTTTTCGTGAACCAAAATGAATCTGAGCTTTCTTCTGCGATTCCTGTAATTTTGATTTTACTGTTTTTTTATGTTGTTCTTGTTTTCAGTGAGAGACTTGAAAAACAGTTCTCTTTTTAATCTCTTGCATGTCATAAATACGTATTTGTGGGTTTCTCCCTCCTCCCTCCTTTTAGTAGTGTGTTTTTAAAGTCTGATTTGTTTATTTATTTATTTATTTCAATAGACTCTCCCCCCCCCCTCCTTTTGAAGAATGAAAGAGAATTCTTGAGTTGCTAATTAATGGCATTTTAAAACAAACACAGAAATAACCACCAAACTAACATGTAATGCTATTATCGCCTGGCTGCTTTGTAAGACAAAGGTTGCCCATGATTCTACGGTATGAAGAATAGCTACAGCAGCTCTTCAACTTTGCATGGTGAACTGTCCTGTTTTTACTGCAAGGTCCCACCATTATTTGATCAGCTGGGGAGGGGAAAAATTTATATATTTAAAAAAAAGGAAAGGAAATACAATCAGAGAACAGATCCAGCATGAAATAAACTCAATAGTTTCTCTTCTGAGGTGGACATTTGAAGATCGCCGTGTTGTGCGTTTTCTCTGATGGTGAAGTGTGGAGCCTTGACTCCTCCCTGTGTCATTGTTGCTGTGAAGCATACCCGAATTTCCAAAACATGCTCTCCAGTAAAGGATTGTTGAAAGCCTACACTTTCTGGTGCTGGCCTGCCCACTCTTACCTTTTAAAGGAAACTGTAACCGCTGCTTTCTCAAGAGACGTCAAAAATGCTGCAAGGCTGCACTGAACCTCGGGAGGGGTGGGTGTTGTTTTTGTAGTTTGGGGGGAACAAGAGGACGCTCAAATAGTTGGAACCAAGGTGTTGTTTTTGTAGTTTGGGGGGAACAACAAGATGCTCAAATAGTTGGAACCAATATTTGAACAGTTGTCGTTTAAACTACGTAAGACCCTGCCTGCTCTGCTCTTTGTGAAATTGCTCAGGATGGGGCAAATGAGAAACCTTGGCTTGTTTGAAATAATGATTGTGGGAGGGGGAGAAAAAAAAGTATCCCAGTTTATAAACTTGTGAGAAGTAATGGCTTTCAGGACTAACCTGATTGTTTGGTTTTTAAAGGGAAAAAAACCAACATTATATATTTAAAAGCAGGAATCAGTGAGTCAGGGTTTTTTCCCCCAAGATAAAAGTTTAACCTTGGTTAAGAAGTAAAATAGTTTCCAAGATATTCTGATGCAAATTTGCTAATTTCCAAATGATGAGGACTCCTATGGTAAACATTTGGCACTAACACTGAGAGTGTAAAGGGCTTATTCAGACCAAGAACATCATCTATTCTAGATTATAATGCCCTGCTTCACTTTTTCTCTTTACATTTCTTTCTGCCAGCTGAGAGAAGAAGTCTCATGCTTTAAGTGCTGGGCGAAAAGAGTTCTCAGCTTGATGTCAAAGGTAATCAGGTCCACTATCCAAACAGCTTAAGCACATGCTTTGGATGTATTGAATATTGAAAATGTGGTAGCCACCATCTATAGTTTGTCACCAGTGTTTGGTATTGGAACACAGCTTGGAAAACTTGCTTTTTGGACTCCATTTTCCAGACTCCACAGAAAACACGGCCACCAATTCAGAGTACAGTGGTGCCTTGGTAGACGATGATAATCTGTTCCACTGAAATAGCTGTTTAGTGAAATCATTGTCTAGCGAAAAGCATTTCCCGATTGGAATGCATTGAAACCTCTTTAATGCGTTCCAATGGGGAAGAAGCGTCATTGTCTAGCAAAGATCGGCCACAGGAAAGCCACTTTGTGAACTGCTGATCAGCTGTTTAAATCGCTGTCTTGCGAAGCTTAGGTCCCACAAACACCTGTTTTGCGAGGGTGGAGGGAGCTGTCAAAATCGTCGTCTATTGAAAACCAGTTTGCAAAGCAGGGACCAAACATTGTCCAGCGAAATTCTCCCATAGGAATCACTGTTTTGCGAATCACTATAGCAATTGCAAAAAGTCAATGTCTAGTGAAAAAATTGTCATGCAGGGTAACTGTCTAGCGAGGCACCACTGTAATACCTTGCCTCCAGGGAAAATGTTCGCAGTTATGATCTAGCAGAGGCTTTATATGTATGCAGTGGGGTTCAAGATCTTTTTCCCATTGAGAGTTTCTCTCACAATCATTGTAAACAAAAAATTTTGAAAGCCTCAAGGCTACTTGCTGTGCTGCTGTCAGAATATTTAACAGAAGGTCCCCTGCATAGAAAGAACTTAGAAAGCAATCTCCTGGTTTGCATCATCTTGGTCAGAGTGAGCAAAGTTGTATGTCTGAGTAGCTTTTCTTGCGGGTAAAGAGTCCTTGCTGCAGTTCTTGTGGTAGTATGCATACGCCCGTGCCAAGAGTCACGGTGAGGGTGTGTCTCTCTCTCTCTCTCTTTTTGTCTGTAAATGAAGAACTGAAATGTACAGCTTTGCTTACACAGTAGGATGCCTGAGTGTGTGTCTCTAATGGCATGTGCTATGGATTCACAATGTGTTCTGCCATGAGCTTTTAGTCTAGATGGTTTCCGATCATCAGAGGTTTCCTAGAAAGTATAGCACACAGGTGAAAATGAAGGCATTTAGGCTGGCCTATGAGAAGATATGATGCATGTGTGGGAGTGCTCACCATGTTATCAAGGAATGTCGCACACTTTTTAATCCTTGCTGTGTGACAATGTTCCACCTTAATGCACAAACCTCAGTCCCTTCCTATGTGCCAGCAAACAGCAGACCTTCACAGTTACATATATTAAAATATTGTTCAGTTCAGACTATGCTACTTATTTTGTCATATACACTGTGCATATTCCCGACTGCATAGATCATATGTGTCACTGTCAAAGAATATTTCCTTTCTTCTCAAGGCCACCACTTCCCTCTTTGATGTTGGGGATTGTTTCTGGTGATCTCTGTTGCCACTGCATCATCCCACCTCTGCTAACAATTGGAACTTCCTGGTTTTATCGATGGTAGCAGAACTGATCAGTGTGAGCCCTCAAAGATAGTCTGGTAATGCCTAATCATTCAGAGAAATGGCAAGCAGGAAGGAAATTATTCAGGGGATGAAGGAGCGCTATGCACCCAGGAAAGAATATGATCATAGCTTGTAGGATAGCTTAAAAGAATTTTCTTTGCACAGCAAAGGAGACATTCACAACAGTAATGAATAAAGGAATCAAACGGTGCACTGTAGGGATGTGAAAAGTATTTGTGGCCCTAGATAATATATTGGTTTTTCCTAAGCCCAGAGGCATCATCTCAGGGAAGGACTCTTCTAAGCTGATCCTTATTTTCATTTGTTTAAACTGTTCATATACAGTAAGACACCCCATCAGTTCCTGGTTGAGCCACTTTATTTATATACTGTATTAGACAGAAGGACTTGCTAGGATTAACACTTGTTTTTAAAAATGGGAGCAATTTGACAATTGCTTCATCCAAGACAAATGTGATGGTGGTTCATGGTTTTTGTCTATTGACTGGGCCACACTGCCACATCTCTGCTTAGAGATTCCTTTTTCAAAGAAGTTGGCAGGTTGGCTAGATGGGCTCAGGATGAGCAAGCAATCTCACGCTGACTGTCATGACTGAGCCTCATTTCTTTACATTTGAAAAATATGTGCTTTATTACTTTGGCTGAAGACATTTGAGCTTAGAGATCCCTCTGTTCACATGGTGCAAAGTTCAAATTTCTGGTCCCAGGACTTGGTCTCTGGAGGCCATTGGTCAAAGCCCCACAAGAATCAAACAATGATTTATTAAGAGAATTAATCATCAGTTTGACTACGTATCACCACTAGTATCACTACTGTGTCTCAGAACCTGAGGGATGCAAAAGGGGGGGGGAGGGTGCTAATGTGTTCATGTCTCACTTAGCAGGGTATGTCTGAGAAGTTTATCTGAATTCTTGAACACTTAATGCCTGATTTCAAAAGAGCTACCAATATTTTCAAGAGGGTGTATTAAGGAAGGACACCCATTACTCTTATGGCTGCCTTAAATAGAGCCACGTGTAAGAAACATGGGATGATTCATTGTCAAAAGCAACCTACTGGAATGCCATCAAGTGTGCCCAAGCCATGTCGGCTCACAATCAATATTGTGTTCACTGATGCAGGAAGCAACATTATCACATCCTAGATATTACCCCTTTAGCCCAGCCTCAGCACTAAATATCTCCAATAACAAGGCTATGTGAAGTGACAAGGGCTATAATTTTAAACCCTCCGTCTACACCTCTTCGAAAAGCTGAGCTGCCAAAATCTTCCCTTTAAGTCTATTGGGGCAGCTCCTTCATCCTTCTTGTGATTCCACAACAGGAGTCAAAGCGCTTGCCAAACGCAGCGAAGACCGGCAGTTCTATTAAGATGGGTTGTTCTACAGCACATTTGGTTGACCAGAGAGGTGAAATGTGGGGTTTCTTTTATGGTATTTGTAATAATCTTCTGAAAGAGGGAACTTTGATTTCAATGTATCAGGGAAAATGTACTCTAATAAATGAAACCTTCTTCTCCAATCTTGTTAACATTATTATTTTTTTTTTTTAAAAAAATATCCTGGTCCTTGTGTCTGTATTGAAAATGAAAGTTGTGTTTCACAGCAGCTGTGGTTAGTCATGAAAGGAAATTGACCCCGACTTCTCAACATGAAACGACAATTCTGCAACACACATCACAGCCAAGGAAAGGCTATAAAATCTTATATGCCAGTTTAATGTTAAGGAGGCTCCAATGCTGCCACCCTTTGGCCTCTTCTTCCTTTTGGCCTCCCTCCATGCCCTCTTGCGTTGCTACAGGAAGGGGGCCTGGGGGGGCAACATGTCCCTTCCTGCCTCTGGCAGCAAGACGGATGAAGGGATAGACCAGACAGACACAAGAACGGGGTTCACTTTCTGCATAAAAGAAAAGATGGAGAAAGGTATATACTGTATGTTACATCACATCACAGCAACATTAAGCTCAGTGGAGCTAAAATGCTTTGAATATCTGTGACTGGGGTGATGTAGGTAATCCCTCACAGCTGTTCCAATGCCAAGTTGCTGTGGCCAATTTATTCCCTGGTGGCCATCCTTCTGACGACAAGCCTTTCCGTGCTAAGCTAGGCTGGTCCTCGCATGACAAACATAGGAGCCACCTCAGCTACTCAAAATTTTCAGAGGGATTTGTTCTGCTGAAATAGCCTTCAAGAATCCAGGGTCACTTCAGTGGCAGACTTGGAATGGGAGAATGGGTGGGGGGGGGCAGGTTAATGAATGAATGACAAAAAAAAATGCCCAGAAATATTTAGAAGGGCTTCTTTGGCACAGAAAAGTTGCCTTAACTAGCTTGGCAGAGGCCTGCACAGCTCCCATTGCCCTCAGCAAATGGGAATTAAACTGGAAAGAAAGCCCTTCATGCAGATGTGGCAAATTCCCACAGGGAGCAAAGTATGTTCAAATGTAAAACACACTCCATGTAAAATGCCCATTTCCCATTTCGTAGCTCAAAAGGGCTGGCTCCCCAACCCAATCAGCCTGCTTACTCCTTCCTATAGGGTGAAAGATAATCAAAGGTAATACCCAGCTGGTACAGGATCATAATGAAGCATGAGACACCCTCCCCCTCCCCCTGCAGACTGCAGAGTTGAAAGAACAATGCAAAATTATACATCTCAATGTTGAGCATAATGAGGTCAGAAATCCCAGCACCGACATAGTATTCACTGCAGAACCTTTCAGGTGCCTGTCTTGATGCAGTTTGAACAAAAGAATGCTTAACTAGGACCACACATGACACGCAACACATCTATTGAATTTGTCATTACATCCCTTGGCTCATGCTGACCAGG